ATACTTAGATTTATCATATTAAGTAATAACCTTACAACCTTTAGCTGAGACAGCTTAAAGAGCAAGTATACGCGAGTAACAAAAACCGCGAATTAGAACTTAACAACCTAAAGAGCACAAATCTAGGCTCTCCAAGTCAGGAGCGGCCCAGAATCCGGGCCCCTCAGGGTAGAATTCAGTCGATGCTCAGGGATGCTCAGGGATGCTCAGGGCTGCTCAGGCTCGGAACAGCCTTGCACAGCCACAGCTCAGGGCTGCTTATTCATCGCTCAGGTTACAGTCACGTGTGCTCAGGTCTCGAAGTGGAAATGGAATTAGGAGAGGTCAAGATTCGGGTGTGGGGAAGGCGGAGACTGAGCCGAAGTAAAATGCTAGTAACGACTTAACCAAAAGGGGACATAAGACTCAGTCGAGTTCAATATGCAGCTAGCAGGGCATATACGCTACTTAGTACTAGCCATGATAAGCATAGCCGTAACATAGTGCAGTTCGACTAGTACTTTTGATACACGACTCCGTATCGTCAGTTTGTGTAGGGGAAAATCTCAAACAGAAACTTTTCTCTAAAAGTGCAGGATAAATGGAATCATCCTCGGGAAAATACTTTGCTTTCGACCAGCCGGTTTCACAAGCACGACGAAGGCAGGTCAAAAGGCACATCTTCAGCTAAAGTCGAAATACTCCTTAGACCAGATCGATTATCTGGTCGAGGATTTAACTCGAGAGAACGCAAAGATGATGAAGGAACCAGGAGAACAGAATCAGACTAGCATTACATGCCGGCAGTCTGAGCAAAGATATTCTTCTGACTCCTCTCTGAATCTACACCTAAGTACTAAAATGGCGGAGCTTGGAAAAGATCTGGCAGATTCTTCCAGGACAAGCGTTGTGCCCACACATCTTACAATAGAATGCCAGGATTTGCCGACATTTGGTCTTGCGCAGGTATAGAGATTGCGAATATTGCACGAATCTGTCGGAGATACCAAGATAGGAAACGAGCTTCCCCTCCTACGAGCACATTGGCACCGAAATGTGGAGATAGCCGGACCGAGCCTACTTGGGATCAAAAAGCTGTCGACGAGTCTGACACCCTCGAAAAGAAGTATGGTCTGCAACGCGTCGGAAAAAACCGGAGAATTGGATCTGACCCGTCGGCTTCAAGAACGCCATCCTCAGCATTTTCGCAAATTCAAGAAGTTTTCCAGACATCATTCCAAGAGCGACAAAAGCATAACCCCCTTTAAGGAAGACAACATGGGCAATTCGTGACAAGAAGAATTTTGACTCCCTTACTACCTCTCTAACCTTTTTCGTCGACAACCTAGAAAAGCTGAGCGACAGACTTCACGTACTAGATTTACAAAAACTCGTTCTCGAGTTCAGAGTCCAGCAAATCAGCAACCCGGAGAGTCTTGTCTTACTAGAACATGCTTCTACGCAACCGGAAGTGTCTCCTGTGCCAACGGCCACCGTGGTAACGGGACCTGAGGATATCCCTACCACTACTCAGCAGACAGAGGGTCACACTTATATCCAGAACATCATAAGGGATCGGGCGAAAGCGATCCTAGGGGATATTGGAAATGTCAGTAGCAATGCACGCAAACATCACTATGAATACAACGAGACCTCTGGAGACGCGAGAGCGATTCATGGGAATGCCAGTGCTGCCGCAGCACTCAAACTTTTTGAATTCAGAGTCGGTTGTCTAGTTGCGCCCACTGTAAACAAAGCCACCGGGAATAGAGAGGACCTCACCAAGTCTCTTCTCAACCACACCGGTAAGACACTCCAATCCGCCGCTTCAACGCACTGATACCCCGCGCAACGATATCTACCTAATCTACACCCTCACCCGTCTCGAAACCAGCACATTGCCCTGCATCATCGCTCATTGCTGTTGAGATTAACATCTATACAATCTCAGGGTGCAGAACCGAGAAAGCGAATGCTGCCTCGGTTTCCCGAAGCACATCAGCAGAACTCGTTGATACTGGGAATGGAAAGATTAATGACTTCTGCGTTGTCCGTCTGGCGAATCCTTAAGCATGTAAGTGGATATTTGGCCGACATACTTCCTTTTCGCGTTTGTAAAGAAAGATTCTCAATTATACTATACCGATCCAGGAGGAGCTTTTCTTCCGGATAGTAGGCTCCTGCATCAGGAGGGAGAGTGGGAGAGCAGCCAATCCATCGTGTCGCTACCGACTAAATTAGAGGGCATGGCGTATGCTTCTCAATCGGGTAGTAAATCAGAGTTCAACAACGAGTCCTCCGCAATAGTAGGGCTCGAATAAAGCTTGAATTTCCAGAGTATTGAATGCAGCCGAGGTATGAAAACAGTCACAACAAGGCAGATTTGGATGCTGTGTGATATGGCGGGTACCCTACGTGTATATACCGCTCGCCTCTCCTCCAGGTACTCTTGCGGATGAGCCAACGTCATCAAGGTAGCATAGTGTCCCCGCATATGAACATATATCTTCATCTCCTTCATTCACTTCCGCAGATAAGTAGTTAGACCAAAGGTCCTCCCAAACCCAGATTCGCGACCAACCTCTAGCGACGCAGCAGCAAAGATTGATCTTCCCCCTTCGTAGCCCGAGTATAAGATAGATTACACAGACGATCCGATTCTCTTCACACAGCAGCACGAATCAAGCCATTGTCACGAGAAGGGGAAAGAAAGAAAAGTGGAGGTAGATATTGGTGTGTACATAGTCATATTCTTCTCCTCAAATTTTCCGTACAAAACGATACTAAGTACTCTACTCAACAGACATGAAAGGGAGGGGTTTCCGAAGACACATTTTGGAAACAAAAGTAAACATGGAGGCGCGGGAAGAAGCGGCAAGAGAATTTCCATCTCGAACACCGTGGCATTTCATGTATGGACAACAAGTTGAGGAATGTGTGCAGATGATATCGAGGCAGGTCTGTTTGCCGTCCCATATTCGCCGCCTCAAGCTTCAAAACAGCAGTATAGATGAAGAAATCAGAAATGAATCCACGCTCGGAGGAAATGCTCGATCACTGGAAACGACAGCCTTGTTAAGCCAATGAAGAGCGGTTCTGCTGCGCCGATGCAGATCGATAGACCTGTGCGGCCAGCGCCTGCAGTCTGTCGCCTTCGTCTTCGTCGTCATCGTCATCGCGCTCAACACTCTGATTAGGGTTTTGCTTCTGAGGCGTGAAGACGGAGCGATGTGCTGCTGCTAGGCCGTTTGCCGCGTCTTGTAGTTGCTGTCCGATTGTCGATGTGGTTTTGGATGCTGTTTTGGGTGTGTGTGTTGAGTAATCTGGAGTTGAAATCCTGGGGGCTGATAAGATTCTTGGTGGTGGAGGTGGCGGCGGCGGCGGCGGCGTGGGTACAACCTCGCTTTTCTGCTCGACACTTGCATAGACGGATGGAGAGGCATTGCTGGTTGTTAGGGCAGGTGCTAAGGATGATGGCGGAGGGAGTAGGTCTAACTCCCTTCTGCTCGTACTGCTCGGTGGTGGTGGTAGTGGTTGTTCTTGTGCCGTTGACTGCAGGGCGCTCACAGGACTACGGTGCGAGGATGCGCTTGCGTCAGGAGTGGACTCGACGTGATCACTTCGAGCATCACCATGTTCCGGTGACGGGGAAGCTGTTCGCATGGCTGAACGATTGGTCCGCAGCTCCTCTTCTCGCACATCTTTCCAGCTGCATTTTGCATGCTTTTTGGTGCAGCCCATGCATGCTGTTAGATTCTTCAGACAATCCATGTGTAGTCGCCTACAACGATCGCAAGGTGGCAGGATACGTTCGCCCCGATGTAAGGACTCCATGCGATTGACCATTTCCGCTTTGTAGGGGCCGCCATCATCTCTCTCGATTTGCGTCGGCTTTAGGTGAGGGAGCAAGGCGGCTGGTGTACTGGGGATGGGAACCGCTGAGTGGTTCGGAGTGTAGAGTGAGCTTTGACTAGCAGATTCGGATCTCGTTTGGGGGGCGTTCTGCATTGTTGCGGATCTGGTGGTGCCGAGGGAAGATTGTCGATTGAGATCATCGTCTCGTGCTTGCATGTCTGCATTTACCAGGAAGCTCTTTATCAGCTCCACACGTTGTTCCTGTGATATTCCTTTGATAGACGCGCCATTGAGGACAGTGACATTTTCAGTGTTGGCTCGCGAGAACAAAGGCTCCGTCGAAGCTTTAGCAGGTGTGTCGCTAATTGTCTCAGCTGGTGCAGACTGTCTGGTGTTGACAGCGGTAAAGCCCATGGGAGGCGACTGGGAAGCTGCAGGATTTCCATTGGCCCTGGTCGAAGTCCCATTAATCAGCTCAGATAATGTTATAGGGCTGTCACAGCGTGGGTGTTCTCTCCTGCCCTCCTCTGCTTCTCGACGGCTGATTATGGCAGCTTTTCGATTCTTCAGGCGATGGTTCAATTGACGAGCTCGACCAGAGACTGCGACAGTGTTAGTATAACGTTGTCCGTTGTCCGTTGTCTGACTCCTCTTGCTTGCATACCTTGGTCAGCCATCTGCACAATATGGCTCAGATTCTTCTCAAGGATCTCAAGTGCGCCCAGCTCCTTTTCCTCATCCTCTTGTATTGGCTGTGGCGGAATGAGCTTTTGTGGCATTCCGCTGGCAATGAGAACATAATCTTCCTCAGATATTTCCACTCTGCATTGCTTTGTGTAGAACTGGCACACTCGTACTCCATTGCGCATTTTCTCTAAGTTGAATTGCTCAGGCTTGTTCCTTGCAAAGTCCACGACATCGAGCCAAGTGACGCTTGGATCTTTGCCATGCGACTTGAGTATGCGAGGTGGGCCGTCGAAGAGGCGTTCGAATCGCTTGATGAGGATGGGACCGAGAGGGCAGGCGCCGAGATTGCCAGCCAGGCTTTCATGTCGGTGGAGAACGCCATCGTAGTCACCAATCAGACGGAGTATGGATGGTAGATTGTCGTCGACATTGACAAGAGGTATGTTTTGATTATATTGCCGCGCCAGGTAATTGATCTGGAGATGACTTGATTGTGGTTTGGAGGATTTGGAAGGCGGACCACCTAGATCTCCTGAAAGTGAGCGCGGTCTTTTGTTCGATACTTCTTCAGTCATCGTCGAGGTGGTCTCCATCCTTGCATTTTCAGTTGTGGTATAAGGTAGTTAGAGTCTTATGGTTAGATTCCACTTCAGGTCAGGATCGGGAGCCGACCCGCGTCCGTTGGATCGTTAGTCGGCGGAGACGGAATGCGGAGGTATTGCAAAGAGGTTGGGAGTTGTCGACCAGTTGCAGGAGGTGGCAGGCTCAAGACTTAAGCTGCAGCAATGTCGAGGCAGATGGTGCAGGCCAGATTGAGAACAGGGTGGAGATGGAGGGTGGAAAGGGAATGAAAGTGGAGACTGAGATCAGTAAGACTGGGCGGTAGAATAGGGCGGGGCTAGGGGTAGACAAGCCCGGAAAGGTGGAAAGAAGGGGAGGCGATTCATCGGTGCTGGGAATGTTGCACCCAATTCTGGCGCAGGGATACGAAAGACGAAACTCGGTGGCAAATCTGCGCAAGTGAGAGGATTACTACTAGCATGCGACAGCTGCCTTGACATCGATCCTGGGTCGGAGAACAGCCATTACGGCAAGCACGGCAAACGAGGTAGAAAGCCTGGCCCCGGGGGGCTGGCCAGCGGAAAGGAATTGGGAGCGGGCGGAGCAATCGCGGAAACTCAAACCATTTGCGGGATCGTTTGGGGTTCAAGAATCGCCTCCACACGCCCAGATTCTCTCACCCTCCACATCGACGAATCATGATATAGTTGACTGAATCTCGCCTGCAAACACCAAATACTACCAGAACAAATGTCCGAACGTGGGCATTTCCGTGGCGGTGGTCGTGGCGGAGGTAGAGGCGGAGGTGACTCAGGCCATCGAGGTGGCCGAGGAGGTGGCCGGGGTGGTGCACATGGATCGCAGCAACAGGACAAACCTAAGAAGGAGAATATTCTCGACCTCGCCAAATACATGGACAAGCAGGTGTCTGTCAAGTTTAATGGTGGTAGAGAAGGTGTCTGCGCCTGTTCTCGAGATGCAAAACAACAACTGCTCACCAGCGTCTTAGTTACTGGAACGTTAAAGGGCTATGATCAGCTCATGAATTTGGTACTAGATAATGTCAAAGAGACGATGCGAGGTAAGCCGCGACTAATATCATTATGTGACCACTATCCTGACTTCCTTATAGATGATGAAGGCAACGAGTCCTCGAGGTCATTGGGACTGGTTGTCGCTCGAGGGACTCTTCTTGTGCTTATCTCTCCTGTTGATGGGAGCGAGGAGATTGCGAACCCGTTCCAGCAGGCGGATGATTAAGAGATTAGCTCCTACCGGCTGTACGGAGCAAAGAGTCCCTCACGGTGTCAAAACCGCCATCCCCGGCGCTTGATTGCTGGGTTGGAAAATTAAGGACGCTTATCTGCGTTCAGTCAACTCTTCTGCCCTTCTAGCAGAGATGGTTCTTTGCACAGGAGAAATGTGCCCGATCCGTTCTTGACCAAAGTTACTGCAGATCAGTCACGAAACGGTGGATAGTGGCGGTTGAAACCTGACGGCAGCTGGAGGCTTAGGTGACATTGAAATAATTGATTTTCAGCTAGATTTTCTAGATGACCCACATAGATGCCAACACGTACAGCAATCAGCCCCGTTTAGCTTGTTCAGCTAGAGACAGAACAATTCAATACCTTTATCATCTCATCGGCCTCCCTTGAGCAAGCAGCTTCAAGAATGCAGTTTGCAATCAAGCCTCAGCATGCGCGGCTCCAGCTCACTTCCATGGCCCTAGTGCGACCTTCTTGCATTTTTGGAGAGTTCCTGAAAGGCAGACTCCATCCCCTTCTTCAGTTCTCGATAGCTTACAACAAAGCAACTCTGATTATCACGGCTGACAAGTGTAAGCCGTTCATCCGATCCTGCATCCAATTTGTTTAGGCATGACAAGACATGTCCAAGATCAACAACAGGGTTCTCCTGTGCATCCACCTGATGAAAAATGTAATCTCGAAAGAGTTTTAGATAATATCGTTCCCCATTCTCCGACCACTGACGATCATGCTCGTACTCCGGCCTCTCGTTGATGAAGCCGAGTTTCGCCATTAGGCGAAAAAGGCGAGCATTTTCCACTTCTCTGCCAAACTCGCTGTTGAGCTGGTCATCTAGCTGAAGGGCACCGTCGAAGGCGGTGACCATTTGTGTTGAAATATTGGAGAGAAATTGATCGATTGTCTTTTCCTGATTTTGCATAGCACTGTACAGCCACACCACAGCAGCTTGAAGCTCTTTTCCATAATGTCGCTTAAACTGATCCATAGCCTTCGCGAAGTTCTGGGACGCATCGGGTGTATTCGAGCCGAGCGAGAGTATCAACAGACCGAAATTGACAAGGTCTTGTCGTTGAAGGTGTGGAACAGCTACCTGAGCATCATAATGCACCACATCAAGTATGGCGCATGCATTTAGTCGGATCCGATTTTTTCCGGTAAGCAAGATCTTGGATGGGCTAATCACTCGTGCAGCGAGACCTCTAGAATGGATGGCTTTGAGAGCAGAAGCAATCTGCGTCATGTACGCCCAAAGAACAACTTCTGAGACCTGTTCGGGATTATTGCGACTCCTGAGGAGCTTGCTTTGCCCCAAATGGTATTCTGCAAGTGTTTTTGCCATGGGATAGTAGTCGCATACAAAAAGGAGGGAACTATCGTTAAAATTTCGCGTAGTAAAAGCATCATGAATCCCAACCACACTCGAATTTATGAGTGTTTTCCAGTTTTGCACAGTTCGAATTGCCTTTTCGTTCGTCAGACGGAAGCCTAGAGATTTGTCAGTCCGAAGATGAGGGTGGCGGGGCGTTGGGTTCACCTTCTATTCGCCTCAGAGCAAAGAATTTGCCATTGGTGCTCGACTGCGCCTTGTAAATCCACGATGAATAGCCGCCAAGAATGGTAGAGCTCTTCTGGTTGGTGTCAAGTGGCACAAGAGAGTGGTAGCTTTCAACATGAGCCGGTAGATGGAGGTTTGGAATAGTCTGCAAAGTGGCTGCCGCCTTTTTCTGGATTTCTTCTCGGAAGTCATTTGGAATGAAAAGATCATGGACATTGCGTTGATAGCCTTGGAGATTTTGGTTGTGGGGCCCTACCGGGGCGTACTGGTGATACTGTGCCTACATACAACGTTCTGTTAGACAAATTGAGATAAGTCTCAGGGCTCCAAACACGGCTGTGCTCAGAGAGAGAGATTGCTCACAGGCTGCTGAAAGCCACTTTGGCTGGGAAAGAAGCCAGCTCCACCCATTGAAAGCGCGTCTTGATATAGAGGTGGTTGAGAATTCAAACTACTTTGAGCTGGTATGTGACTGGAGGAGGTTTGGAAATGATCATATGCGCTACCCTCGCTGCCGTTGGCCTGCGCAAATTCAGCACCACGTTCACTCACTTTGAGCAGTCGCATGCTGCCAAGTCCGGATCATCCACATTGACTTGCGAGCAGGAACTTGAAGCAGCAACACTCACCATATGACTCGAACTGTAGCTTTGAGGGATGAATTCTTGAACGTCCACTGGCCAGTCTGGTGTAGATGTATCGGCTCCTGTTGTGACGCGTTCAGTCAGCATACACTCTACAGATCTCACAGCACAATCAGAAGACAGCTTACTCGAAACTGCAGCAGATTTGGGGAGAAAGGGCGCTGCATTCGCTGCCTTTGGGGAGATCCCCGTGGATTTCTTTCCATTGGCATTGACATTCTCAGTCGCGGACAAAAAAGATGGTGTGAAGCTAGGCGAATCCACGTTGAAGGTCTTCTTCATACTGTCATCATTAGTGCAAGGACAATGGTTGAAGTGGCATTCCCCAACTTGTCCACTGCCGACACTGCATTGGCAATCTTCTTCGGATCATGAGCAAATGCGCAGCCTGTGCAAAGCCCATCAGTCTCCATTCAAGTCGACGTGGCTGCGATAGCCTGACCTTTTCCTTCGAACTTGCAACTCCCATATATGGTGACATTACGACAGAGCTCTGCTTCCACAGCTCCAGTCAGCATCGATCAAGTTATTGTCTTCGGCTCTTCTCATCCAATGTCGAGCTCGTCCACTTCTCAACGCCTCGCTCGCGGCAGATAAGGAGCAACTTCTGACTGTCGCTCAAGGGATCAACGCACTGCGCCGACTGTCCTCCATCTTATTCCTGCTCACTGCCACCCTCAAGCTCCCAAAATATGCATCCTAGATCGAATATAGCTCCATGAATTCTTGAAAACACTGTTCCAGGGATCAGCCAACAGGGGACGGACAGCACAACATGCGCAAGCCACTAACTTGGGATAAGAGATGCCAGATCTCATTGGAGTGGAACATATGTGCTTGTAAAGCGCCCTGAGCCCTGGTGCTCCAAAAAGTCGGGAAATGATATTATACTATGTCAATAGTGCCTGAGATATAGTAACACTGGCAATATGGGATAGAATAGAAATGGATCCAACGTTCTCCAGGATCAGCCAAGCCCAGTGGATCCCCCAATCGGCATTGGCTTTCGATCGGTCTGGGTAACTATTACAGTACTTATAACTATGCGCAACGGCCGGAGGTCCTTGCGTTCATGCTGATCCATCGTCCAGACATAAATTTCTAGACCTTGGTAGGTAGACAGTGAAGCACTTATTGACATTCCGCCAACGAGCGCAAAGTAGAAATCATACTGCAACACGTCTGACAGTCCGCGCCGGCCCAGATCACTGACAGCAAAGCCTGAAAAGACACACTGAAATTCAGACCAAAAGATTCAGATTTATCCATGATAGATGGTCACCCTGGCTTGGTGCTAACCATTGCAGAGCTGGCTTACGCCAATCACCTCTTCCGCGACCTTCTCTTTGGCACTCGCAATAGAAATGTCATCTTCTCCCCTTGACATCTCGCAACTCAGCGAAAGCCAGCAGGAGGCTTTGCAGACCTACACCTCAGTCACTGACCAGGATCCCATTACAGCAATCCCAATCCTTCAAAGAGCCGAGTGGAATGTCCAGATCGCCATCACTCGATTCTTCGAGGGCGAGCCAACCTCTGATCCCGTTGCCGAAGCCCGAGCTGCGCTTCCTGCAGCTTCCTCTCGACAAACCTCAAACCTCCAATTCGATGATCTGATAGCCTCAGCGCGCCCTCTTTCGACCGCTCGGCGGAACTTTAATTCCGTGGGAAGGGTTTCCACACAAGCTGGGGAGGAGACGCACTACCGTCCACCACTGCTTCTTGCCATACTATTTACACCATTCTCTCTACTCTATCGCGTGCTTGCCACAATACTTTCACCTATTGGAACCGCCTTCCCATTTATACCACGTTTAATTGCAAGACTTGCGCCCAGCCAGAGACCCCGACCCAGTCGACGCTCACTCGCACCAGCCGACAACGCACGACGGTTCATCCGCGAGTTCGCCGAAGAGTACGGCACTAATGACCTTCCATTCGTGGAGTCCGGGTTCAACCTAGCTCTCGACAATGCCAAAAAGGACTTTAAGTTCCTGTTCGTGGTCCTTCTCTCCCCCAGCCACGACGACACCAGCTCCTGGGTCCGAGACACCCTCCTATCCCCACAACTAAACTCTTTCCTATCGTCGCACCGGGACGAAATCATCCTCTGGGGCGGCAACGTCCAAGATGCAGAAGCCTACCAAGTAGCCGACACTGTCCAATGCACCAAGTTCCCTTTCGCAGGCCTAGTCTGCTACACCCCTGACTCCTCGGGTCCAACAGGGATGTCTACCGTGATGCGCGCAGCGGGACCAATGCCTGCTAGCGAGCTTGTCGCTAAGCTCGGAACGGCCATGACGGCGCAGCAGGGTCAGCTGAGTGCGACGAGGCTCGAAAGACAGCAGGCCCAAGCATCGAGGAATCTGCGCCAGGAACAGGATTCTGCTTACCAGCGCTCGCTGGCGCAGGACAGGGAACGGGCGAGATTAAAGCGAGAAGAAGCGGAGGCGCAAGCGAGGATGGAGAAGGAGGCTTTGCGGAAGGAAGAGGACGAACAGCGCCATGCGGCAGTGTTACAACAGTGGAAGAGATGGCGAGCGCAGTCATTACCGCCGGAGCCGGAAAAAACCTCAAAAGATTCCATCCGGGTGAGCGTACGTCTACCGAACGGGGAGAGGGTTATCCGCGGTTTCCGAGCAGACGCGGATCTCGAAGAGGTATATGCGTTCGTTGAATGCTACGATCTTTGGAAAGAAGCAGCAGCAGCAGCAGCGGACACCATGTCTGAGAAGGAGGTGCTGGAGCCGGAGGGCTTTGAACACACTTATGGCTTCAGGCTGGTTTCACCGATGCCGAGGATTGTGTATGACCTGCAGGAGGGTGGCTCGATAGGAGAAAGGATCGGGAGAGGAGGGAATCTCATCGTTGAGCCGATCGAGGAGGATGATCAGGAGTAATTTTGGTTCCGAACGGTTGTATACACGTATACATAGGGTCATGTGAGGAATTCAGCAAGCGAGTACTGGAACACAGCTAGACTAGTGTGGAGTAACAAAAGAAGGGTAGACCTAAGAACAGCTACTCGAGTTCACGTATCGTCATAGTTACTGCTAGTTATTGAATAGGGCGAACATAGAAGCTGCTGATTTATTGCGCATCGAAACCTGACATTGAGCCTGGTAGCGTCATTTCGGTTCTATGTTGTCTCCCTTCGCTGACTGTTACATGAAAGAGAGACCTCGAAGAGCACGTGTTCTTGATGAAATATCAGGATGAACAGGAAGACTCCGGCGCAGCAGATGTTTTTTTTTTTGGACGAAGCAGTCTCCTGAGAGGCGAGCGAGTGACGTACTTTAGTACGCGAATCACACAGGACATGGCCTTCCCCGCCCGTCTGTGTTGTGCATTTCTTCTTGCGTCCCAGCCGTGCTTCTTCTTCAGCTTCTGAACATGGGAACCAGGCACTGGTGTTGAGAAGAGAGAGCCACTAGCCTAGATCCACTTTTCAACTTCCTCCCTTTCCCACCCTGATAGATCGCCTCGAGGAATCTGGGAACCAGAGTTTCCAGTACCGAAGACTCCGAGCTGAGAATGGATCACTAGATTCTTGCGGCTGTTGTACAAGATTGCTTTTTATAAGCCAAGTACTCCAAGTCCTGGCCAGTGGGATGTCTCAGAAGCGTTTGTGCTGATGATGGGCAGATGTTCAGCGACGGCCAGATATTATGTCAAACCGGACGAACAACGGTCAGTTATTATGTGCATGCCAGATTTTCAAAAATAGACAGGTGGTCAACAGCGGTCAGATGTTGTATAATGGTCCGCTAGTCGAATGGGCTGGTGTTCGGTAGACAGATATGGCCAGGGGCTCCGAATGCAGGCCCAAGAGTCTCTGAATGATGGCAAGGTGGTCACCAGCACTGAAATGCAAAATCTGCTTGCGGGAGAGCTGTCACCTGCAACATTCTGGACGGTGGTATTGTGATACCGAATCACGCTGCACTTGTACGGCCATCAATCAACGTCTGGTACTGGAAGACCCTCTAAAAATTTGACTTTTCGACCCAAGGCCTCCAAAGCTTTTCTTGACTTCTGCTCTCGGAGGTCGCTGGCTTCCTCGTCCGAGACAAGCACAAAGTCATATGTCATCAACAGAGTACCTTCTTCGACGTCATATTTTTCGGCGATCTCTCGATCAGTTTGGGTATAGTCGACCACAAGGCTATCCTTGACGCCGAACACAGCATCAGATGTTTCGTATGGATCTCCTCGAGCATAGAGTGCGCTAGCAATCGAGTCAGTTGAATCCCTGGGGAAACAGTGGTGCTTACTTACGTGATCAGATTATCATATCCCGGTTTCTCAAACATAAAGTGCATATGACTTGGTCTATAAGGATGTCGGCGCAGCGCTTTTAACAATTTTCCCACAGGCCCATCATGAGGAATCGGATATGAGATGGGTTTGATGGCTTTGAACCAGAATATGCCGTCTTTGTCGCTATACATGACACACCTTCCGTCAGGGCCCTTGCGGTCAGCATGTTGCACATCATAGCGCCCTGTTGAATCGGTCTCCCAGATATCAATCTTACAGCCCTCGATTGGTCGGCCTGCAGAGTCTTTTAGCGTACAAAGAACGAGTAGTGGTTCGCCATCTGGATCCGACGACATCTTGTCGCCATGTGACATCTCTTCAGCCTCATGGGTGTGAAAAGGACCCAGCACGGTTCCTTCGGTGGCGTGTGGTGGCTTGGGATGGTCTATTGCATCAATAAGGAGGGACAGCCCGAGAATATCAGAGAGCAATATAAATTCCTGAAGGGTTGAAGGTTAGAATTGGTCAGTGACCACCAACCTCTACCTACCTGGCGAACCTCATCACAAGTCTGACCCACCACGGTGAGAAATTGTATACCGCTCATCCACTCTCTTGTACTTAACCTTGTCTCCCTTGCAAAGTCGTGAAGATGAGACACGAGGCGCTCCATCAAATATTTCATACGAAGGTCTTCACAAGATGAGTTGGTGAGAATCGTGTTCTCGGTGATGTTCTCGGTGTTGAGATCCTTCAGCAGAGGCATGTTGACTTTTGAGGGATCCATCCTGAAATACAAAGCGCTGTGAGTGCTTCATAAAACCCTTGTTGAAAATCCTCGTTATCAATAAGATCGCTTCTTCAATCGTGACATGACGGTAATGGATGTAGACTCTATATTAATATTATGTGTTTTCAGAATCTCCAGTGGCTTTATAATGATCTGGTCGCCAATCAAGCACAGAATTGGACCTGTAAGGAATTCTTCATCCAAAGCAGCGCTCTGTGTTCCCAAAGTCCCCCACCCAACACCCCACTACGTACTCTCCGCTTCCAACGTCCAGAGTGTGGGGAAGTTGCAAGGGGAAAACTTACACGAGCGAAATAGAGACGGAAGAAGATTTTACCGAGACAAAGATGCCTAGACAAGCCGCGCTTTGCCCTTACGTACTAATGTGTCCTCCGTATTGCCCGACTCGAGCAGAAGGCACAGCGGACGTTACACGACGTCGAAAGGCACCCATGGTATAAGAGATCAACACTTCGTTGAAGCGCTGTACGATTATAAACGACCACTTCGCGGAATCATCTTACGATTTATCTTTGCCATGGAGACCGTAGTCTTAGCACTTGTAATGTCAGGTCGTGGTGTTGTCGAACGATATTAGAGCAATACAAGGAGCCATGCTAAAGAGGAGCACAAATTTGACTTCTCAAGAGCTGTTGGTGTCCGCCAAGTGCCCATTTGGTACAAGCACTAAGTTAGCCTGCCGTGTCAATTACCGCGTAAGAAGTTACCGTTGTCAGTAACGACAAGATTCATCAACTACTAAGTGTGCAACCTTTTTATAGCGCCGGCCTTTACCTTCCCTCAGAATTGTGTACACCACTTTTCCAAAACATTGGAAGCATGAAGTTTTAGAACTGAAGAGCAGCTTGGATGTTGCGAACAAATAGATTATTGAGAAGCATTTTTACCGCATACTTCTCATTTCTTCAACGAGGCAAAGTGACCCTATCCCTCAAAAAGATAAAAGGCCCGAGGATGAGGTAAGGAGGAACAATGGAGTCCATCATGAGAATGTTTTCCTTGGAAGGCCAGACAGCAGTGGTCACAGGAGGTACTCGAGGAATTGGAGCCGCAATGGTGATCTCACCCGCAGAAGCAGGCGCGGACATAATCCTCATCCAGGCAGGACATCATCTGAAATTGCATCAATGACTACCAATTTACTGATAGCAGACTTCATAGAGAGACGAATCTAACACTAGTTAAGACGCTGACAAAATTGGCGAGCTTGGCCGCAAAGCTCAAATCGTCTGTGTCGACCTCTCGAGTCAAAGCTCTGTGGGTAGGGTAATCCCTAGTCATTGACGGAGGATGGATATGACGTCGCAGAATCCATAGAATGACCTCCTGGGTTATGAAGGAGCAGAGACTGGATGCACCATAATACCTAGTTCTCAACAAACTTCCTGACCCAAAATCCTCAAGATACATTCGTGTATATACTGCTTCACTAACAGCAATCGCTAGTGAATTCTGATCTCATAACACTTGTCAGCCTTCATCAGTTGTTGATCTCCTACATCTGGATCTTTTTGTTGAGAATCTGTCGAAGTCATTCTTGTGACATAATCTTGCTTTATTACACCTACGAGATAGGACACAAGTGTGACAACCAGATCGCTGAATTTGGATGAAGTTCATCTGTGAAATCTCATTTCTTGATTGTGTCCGATTGTGACGTGCTGTGGCTGCAGCTGCGCTCCTGTAGATCTGCTTCATCTAGGAGAATTCTTGAGGGGTGAGAACTCAAAGAGATGAGGAGTGTGATCAATAAAATATGAAGCAAAACGGATACTGAGATATTTCAATGCAATAATTTTGAGGACTAAGGCACGGTAGTCTTAATGACATGTGGATATATTGTTTAGCGGATGGTCTTCATATTGTTCTTTCTGTGTTATATGGAGGCCAAACAATGTGCAAGACTGTATTGTTCTCTTCCAGGGAATTCTCCCTAGACCAGTGCACAAGGAGTAGAAAATCTCGTTTCTTTCTCTATTCTACATCTTACTTGAGACGCTTGCTAACTCAGGGTCGTCTGGAGACGCAGAGTTTCCAAGAGATCAGTTCCATTCTATCATTTGCCTGACGATGAAGGCTGAAATTGAGGCTGAGTGAATCAGATCATGAAGAGCGACAGTTATGAACAAGAGAAACCAGTCTTCTACAACGGTAGGAGGCATTAGTATTGTTAGCTCCGAGCTAGAAGTTTGGTACGTGACGCAGGATTGCTGAAGATACGTCTTACTAAAGAGTACTAGTCTATTTGGCTCCTAGGCCAGTGCCAATCATTATCATCACTGAAGGGTCAACACTTCCTGGCGCTCTGGAGAACCTTAGGCCCTTGTATCGAAAACTAGCTAGTACTAATCCACGCTAACAATACTTACGTAGTATGCCTCCTACGGAGTACTACTGGGGTACACAGTATGTTTAATGCGGAGGCTTGTCTTCAGAAGGCAACCTTTGTTTCAGACACCATGGATGCCAGCCGGCTGCAGACTCAGCTTGTATGCAGGCTAATTCTTGGATTTGATTGGCTGCCAGCAACAGGACCATGCTGGCGCCGACGTGGCCAAACTTTCTCAAAAGCAAACTTTTTCGACTGCAGGCAAAGGCGAAGAGTGTAACCGATATAATCTGACTTGATGATGGTATTTTGTCAAAGACGCGATAAAGGACTGTTTGTTGGTTTCTGCTCCGCCTTGTTAGTGGTTGAAAACAGACAAAGAAGATTTGCTGGTAGAGCTTTGTCCTAAACCCTCTAGCTTCTTCCCCCTGAGCGGGATGCCGAGACAGGGAAGACAGGCACGCCAATCGGCTTGCTCAATGCTCCTGATTTGAGTACTCCGTAATCTTATCGGTTAATTCAAGGTGGATCCTGGCTAGGGAACGCCAATCATGGGCATTCTGCACCCAACGTCGAAACAACCATCCACGCTGACCCAGCTGAACCTTGTTTCAACCAAGGCGACTGGCTTCCAGCTTCTTCAGCGCCAAAGCATGTTCTCGCTGTGCATCAGAGCAATATGGCAAAGGAGCTTGCATTGGCTCCCTGCCGCCAACTTGGCGCGGACTTCGGCGGGTCTTAAGACTCTAATACGTCAGCATCAGGGTTAACATCCGAAGTCAGCACCTGGGAGCAGCGCTCAGGAGAAAGATCGCTGTACCAGGGATGCATATCTCCTTGCTTCTTGTTTCCTTTTACTTTCTATCAAGTTGGCCATAGACAGCAGACCCCGGTGGTCATCTCTGTTCCAGGATCTTCTTGCATGCTTTGTTAAGTGGTTACACCACATTTTCATTCATTCTCGGCTGGATATTGAGTTCGAGAGCATCTGCTGCAAACCGTCGCTGGACGAAAGACATTCCTTTTCAACTCACTGGAGCCTTGACGCTTATTGATGGTTATTGGGAAGTGACCATTTGGCTATTGATGCCTGGAAAAGCCGGAGGCATTTCTCACGAACACCATAACGGCTCGCTGTCCTCCTTTCCTGCTATCGCCAACAACTGAGTGCCATCTACGGTAGAGCTACTGATCAGCTATCGTTCCCTATGCTCGTCGTCCTTGCTGCTGTTCTCGCTATCATGGATTGAGGGAGACACAATTCTGATTGTGGAGGTTGACAAAGAAGTCCGTTATTGGAGGAACTGCTCAATAGAGAAAGTCACTGGGAAAAATCACACTTCAACAAAGGTCTTTGATTCAACGACGAATAAAGGCACCAATAAATATATCAACAACGAGTCTGGTGCATGCACGTGGGTTCTTTCAGACCACTTTCATTATTGCAATTGTCAAGACCTTCATACAGCGGAAACATTCTTTGACAACCATCCTCAACCCGTTGCTATCCACGGGCATACATTGAGCTACACGCATTTTATTTCTTGCCTCGACCAAGAAACCACATTCGTTCACATACAAACGCATCCTGCAGGTCACGATGCTATCTGATACACCTTCTAGCATCCTACACCGATTTCCCCGAGGAACGTCATTCGCACGCAGGATGGCAGCAGACACGCATCCATCGGCCGATGAAGCTGCCAGCTCCTCGAACTCAGATATTTTGCCATACACATCTGGTTTGAACGGAGTCAAGCTGCATATGGACAAGTTTCTCATCAAATGGTTATGGATATCAATGGTCTCGATCGCTGTCCTGATCCTAGCCTCTCGGATCATTCAACTTTGCAACTCACATCTTCGTCGCATCTTCTCGCTGACAGCGAGCACAAAACAGCAGTCATACTGGAGCTTTGACAAAACAACCATTTGGCCACAATTCAAGAAAAATGTGCTGTATGCTCCGCTGGGAAAGAAACGACACAACCGCGAGGTAAAGTTTTCGGAAGCCGTCAATGTGGGCACGTTGCCATCGAGATTCCACACCTTCCTGCTCTTCCTTCTACTCGGCAGCAACATTGCCTACTGCTGCATTCTCGATTATCGGCAAAGCAACAAAGCTGCACTCCTCGCAGAATTGAGAGGGAGATCGGGTATCCTGGCGACAGTGAACATGATCCCTTTGATCCTTTTGGCAGGTCGAAACAACCCTGCTATCTCCCTCCTCAAAGTCAGTTTCGATACCTACAACCTCCTGCACCGCTGGATTGGTCGGATTGTTGTTGTTGAGGCCATCGTTCACACCATCGCCTGGGGTGCCAACTGTGTCCAAGCCAAGGGTATGGGTGGTGTAGGGCAGTCAATCCGCGGGGATCCATTCCTTCAATGGGGACTGGTCGGCACATTGGCGATGGCTATCATCCTCGTCCAGTCACCTTCTGTTATTCGCCACGCTTTCTACGAGACATTCCTCCATCTTCACCAAGCTCTCGCATTCGCGGCGATTCTCGGCGTCTACATTCACCTGGAAATTTCTAAGCTCCCGGCGCTTCCATACATTCGTGCCGTCGTTGGGCTGTGGGCCAGTGAACGTCTCCTTCGATTCCTTCGACTTGGCTATCTCAACCTTTCTCGCAAACATGGATGCACAAATGTTGTAGTAGAAGCCCTACAAGGAGAAGCGTGTCGGGTTACTTTCAATCTTCCTCGACATGTTACCGTCAGACCTGGCAGCCACGTGTACGCCTACCTTCCACGAGTCTCATTGTGGATGTCACACCCTTTCTCCGTCGCGTGGACCAATGTTGACTCGGAACCTCCTACAGGCGCAGGAACTCTGTCGCCAATAACTCCAACATCACCTTCCTCGCTTGAGAAGCAAATTACTCTTGCTCTCAAGAAATCGAAAGAACCTACCTCGATTTCTCTCGTCATGGTGGCTCGAACCGGAATGACGCGCAAAATCTACGACATGGCGCGCGCATCTGAAGGTGGCATGATGCGGATTTCAGGCTATGTGGAGGGGCCATATGCTGGTCATGATTCGCTGAAGAGCTACGGCACCGTCGTGCTCTTTGCTGGTGGTGCTGGGATCACTCATCATCTGGTTCAGATACGACACCTGATTGCCGCATCGCAAGCTGGCACAGTCGCAACACGCAAGATCGTGCTTGTCTGGTCAGTGAGGTCAGTAGAGATGCTGTCATGGGTTCGACCGTGGATGGACGAGATTCTGCAAATGGAAGGTCGAAGAGATGTGCTCAAAATCCTCCTTTTTGTGACGAAGCCCCGAAGCCCACGAGACCTGGTCAGTCCCAGCGCAACTGTCAAGCTGTTTCCCGGCCGATGTCGACCGCCCGTCATTCTCGATGAGGAACTACCGACAAGGGTGGGCGCGGCAGCTGTTTCCGTTTGTGGACCTGGCGCTTTTGCCGATGAAGTCCGAGCCGCGGTGAGGGAGAGACTGCACTGGGGAAGCCTTGATTTCGTTGAAGAGGCTTTCACTTGGTAAGCCGCCAGCACGAGGAAGATATTTGGAGAGTGAATCGCAATTTAATTCAGCCTGTATATATGATACCCCATCCAGACACTGGTTACACAGCACACGGTTTCATGATTAGTGAAGCATTTTAATAGCCAGCGTGGCATTGCGTGGCATTGCGTGGCATTGCGTGGCATTGGATGCGAGGAACATTTTGGAGCAAGTCGAGTATCTCGAGCTCGCTGAAGCAGACGAGCTAGATCGTACATAACTATGCCGCATGAAGAGAATCAATCAATCATTTGACCTTCGATTCTGGACGCTCTTCTCTGCCTCTCGCCAGCCATTCATTCGTCTGTTTTTTGTGTGATCGAGTAAGCAACGCGTAAAGTGGCAAAAGTTTGGTGAGCGACTATGCAACAGCCAAGATAGGATACGTAGGCATTGGGGATTCAGGATTAAGCAGATGGGAGCGCATCGACTTCGATTGTCTAGGCGCTTCTGAAACCCTCAGCGCTAAGTGCAGTTATCTGCGGTCGCATCTGCAGCTCCCCGAACATCATTCTGGGAGTCCCGATAGTCAACATAGCTGCTCTGTAACTCAGCACCATCCCACACTTCCTCTTTCTCTTTCCTGTGTTACACGGTACTGCAATAAATATTTCCAAGAACTGGTGGCCTTCGCAGATGAAGCGCATTCTGGGCACTTTCAACAGGCGGGCAGGTGGTCAGTTTATTCCCATGCTTGCCTATGCGTCGAAAGTCTTTCTGATACGCGTATAGCGCAGGAAGGACAAACTCAGAGCGTTCCCCAAGGCGACTCCCCAGAATCCACGATTGTGCGAGAAGTGGTGGGTTAAACAACTCTAATACAGCTTGCTCCGCTGATACAACTGCCATGAAGATTGCATTTTGCGAATCGGATGCGCCGAATTCGCCTACCGCGGTATGCGTTGCCTTTCCTGCATGCGTGGGTCTCATCTGACAGGCGGTATACATGTAGGGTGACGAGTTTCTGCACCTCCCTGCGATCGTCGATGCAGCTGAATCTACCCCTGCCGCTGCGCGAGAAGGCGCAAACTGCATTCGCAAGTTTCTCACCAAAGACTATGCCAGCCGCGCCTATGCACAGTATAATGCAGTCATGCTGATGCGGATCCTAACTGACAATCCTGGACGATCATTCACAAGAAATTTCGATGCCAGTTTCGTCAAGACGGTGAAGGAGCTGCTTAGGGAAGGCCAGGACTTGAGCGTGCAGCAGATTCTGAGGGAGACGCTAGATTCTTTTGCGACAGGAAAGACAGACAATGAAACATTGAGCGCGTTGATGGAGATGTGGAAGAGGGAGAAGGCGAAGAACAACACCAAGGTCTACGGCAACAGTGTGAGTGGTTCCTGTGCTACCAAACAGGAAAATGCTGATGCAAGTACAGGCTGGCCCACACATCCCTAACGGACATTCACAAGTCGCACCGTCTGGGGAACATTTTGCTCGTCATCATCGACAGCCGCGGTCTTTGCCCCCGCCTGATGAACTTGCTGCCCGGATCGAAGAAGCCAGAACCACAGCGAAGCTTTTGTCGCAAACCGTACAGTCAACACCGAGTGCAGAGATATCCAACAATGATCTGATCAAAGAGTTCGCTGATCGCGCATCATCTGCCAGCCGCAGTATACAAGGCTACATTCATAGCACGAACCCGGCTCCAGATGAAGATACTCTCCTCACCTTGATCGAAACCAACGATCATTTGAGCATTGCAATGTCGAAGCATCAGAGAGCCCTCTTGCAAGCTCGACGGAACCTGAGCAACTCATCCCAAGCGGCTGCGTCATCACCGGCTGACCAGGTCAACTACCCGCCACCCGCAGGTCCTCCACCAGGAGCCCTGGCCGCCGGAAGTACTCAAGACCATGCATACCCAGCTCCAAGCTCACCACCACAAAGAGCGCAAGATCACTACTACAACCCGCCTCCTAACATGCCACCTCAGCGAGCACAACCAACACAGCAGCAGCAGCAGCAGCAGCAGCAGCAACGCGAACCGTATGACGTACCTGAGAACCCTTTCGCCGACGAAGCACATCAGCCAGCGCCACCAAAGCAGAGTTACGGCCTTTTCCAACGTGCAAATCAGCCAGGCCCTCCGCTGGGGGCGGATCGGCATCTACCGTACACGGAAGCATTGCAGACTCGTCCACAGAATTCAACTCCCACCTTTCACTCCACACCAGGCTATGCATACCGCCAGGAGCCGGCTGCAAATCATCTGACAATGCAGGGCACAACTCCTCCACCAGGGCAGCAAGATCGAAACGATGTACAGCAGCGGATGGCGAACATGCGTGTTTGATTATTGTGTAGATATGTGAGCATGATCGTCTCGCCTTGTCTCTATGTCTCTACTTTCACTCCGTACGAGATGTGCAGGAATGATACCCTTTTTTGTCGTGACCAAAGACTCTTTCTTAACGTATGTCTCATGTGCCAATCTGGATCCACGATACACGATAAACGAGGCACGTAGTGCTAGGCTTGTTGATTCACGCGTTGAACAGTGTACGTCGTAGTACTTCAAGTCATTGTTCTGTACTACTAGCATCTAGTAACATGTTGCTTGCGGCGTTTGCCGTGGTTTCGCCAAGGCGCCAGTCGTAAAATATTTGCCAACTTGAACTTCCTCAACTTCATCTGCCAACCTTGAAGCTTTGTTTCCAGTAGACACATCTGTAAACAGCACTAGACTGCCAGACGCACTTGTTGGTCGCTGTAGGCTCTGTGCTTGTTGGCTAAGAAGAAGGGATGAAGAAAGAAAGAAATAAAGAAACAAAGCGGCGCAAGGCTGGCTTTGTTATCCTGCTCCGCTCCGGCCTCCGAGGTTCTGCTGTTGGTGCTTCGCTGACTGATGCTGGCCTCTGATGGACACTAGACGTGTTGATTTCCTATCGAAGGATGGGCTGGAACGATGATTGATGTCGGTGTCTGACACGCAGGGCAGTTGGCACCTTTTATCTTCAACTCGGCGCTTGTTAGACTTCGGAAGCACTTCTCTCTCAGGCAATTAGGACAAATATGGGGTCTCGCCTGTACTTGAAAAGCTTTCGAGTTGGCCATGGTAGGTTGAGCAAGGGTCATTCCGCGCGTAAGGGCTCCTTGCGCTCGTGCTGGCCAGAGTCCAAGTTCGGTGACATTCTCAACACACCCCCGAGCTTCAACTAAGTTTCGGACGATGGGTCCACCGGCGGCCAAGGCAGTTACAAATCCTCTATTCCCGCGAACGATCAGATTCTTGACAGCAAACTGCGTCAGAAGTCGGCCGATCGCATGGCCCCAGTCTGCTGTCATCAGTCCTTTATTGCCTCGGGCCATGAAGCGACCAAGTGTGTTGTTCCCAGGCGAGTCTGGTGCGAATCTCTTGATTCTCGCCTCCCACTCCACTGGGTTGGTTGGCAACGATGTGGTGACGCCTCTCACCTCCGTCTTGAGCGGCCAGTTGGCGTTGTCGCGAATGTCGAGAATGACGGTGTGGAGATAGTTTGGACGCGGAAGAGTCATCGGAGCTAGTTCCTGGCTGAAACGGAATGACGGAATCGTGTCTGGGGTACGGAAGTAGATCACAGCCTTGCCCAAGATGTCGTCCTTCAGCGTGTAATATAAATATCGGCACGTTCGAAGAAGTCTCAGGCATGGAACGTGTCGCTCGTCGACTTTGGGCCAATCATCGTTAGGCGAACTGACTCGCTGTTAGCAGCTTCAGATCAAGTGGCCTGCAGAAGGCAAATCCCTACCGTACTCCTGGCTCGGGATCCTTATGTTGCTTCCAGTGGTCAAAGATCATTGTCAACACATCTAATGACCGTCTCCCCAGCGAGCTGTTTGCGAAACTGGCTGTTGCCAAGGCCCACTGGAGCCGTCTCATTCGCTCCATGTCATGAATGGAGTCAGCGCGGTAGGATGACAATGGACGCGATGGAAGACTTCTAATATCCACAGGAAAATCCACCCATTCCGTGTCATCAAACCCAGCGACCGCTTTTCCACACAGCGCCTGGCGATGTTGCTGCACGAAGGACGTTTACGCTGGGATGGCGGAAAAGTGGGCTACCGTTTGCTGAGAGCTTGACGTATATGATTTTGCCGATTTTGGTTGTTTGCTTTTGCATATGTCAGCTAAAATGTCTAGTCAAAGTTCTGCGGATGTGCTCTTCCAAGCTTGCAAGGCCTGATGTGCAGGGCTACAGCATCGACCATGGTAGGTAGTCATGATGGGGCAGTGCGATGTGCATCAAGACATGAGGAGCAAAAAGGGTAAACTACTATGAAAACTCCGTCCCCGCATTTGTTCACTTGGATACCTGGACTCACGGCAAGGTGATCGAACATAGCTACTGTCGCTACGACAAGGCGTGTGTTTGTTGGCTTCGCTATCCTTCATGATTGTGTCATTGTCAGGCGAGGAAGCTGTGTTAAGGGCCGGGTTGGTCGCAGGAAGAGCAGCCGTACTCGAAGTCAGGCCACCGGCAGGGATGGAGGAGCTGTACTCAAAGGCATGTTGCCCGCAAATGGAGCAGATGTGCTTGAGGGGTTCATGTTGAGGACAGAAGACGGAAGGATGCTTAATGTTGTGGGTGGGATATCGAAGACACAAAGATCACTGAGGAAAAAGGCGGCAGAAGCACTACATTCGGAATTAGGGCTAAGCGAGTGGCCACTCTATGTCAGGCCAAAGTGTTTGACAGCATGGCAAGAAGAAGAAGCAAGTTGCAGTGGAATGTTTTTTCTGCTGGCCGCTGCAGCATGGCTATGAGGGAGCGGTCACGAAGGATGGTCATCTTCTGCTCAATCTCTATTTACTCGCTCTGGATTGGCCCATCTTCCATCTTCCATACCTTACAGGCGGCCAGCATCTACGAAGCGGTTTCTGTTGATGCACGTAAGCATGTATACCGTTTCTTGTATGGGTGATGGACAGTGATGGATGGGGCTACAATGATGATAGAACAGGGCTGCATGATCCCACTCTCAGTTAGCCGCTCTCTCACTTACCTAATAGCGTAATACATGCAGTTCAGTGGGCATTCCACCCCAAAGTGCAGCATCATGTCATGTTGTGCGAGATTGAACATGTGCAGACTGTCTCATGCTCTCTGCCAACAGACCTTCCCTTATATTGGATAAGAGTCTCTCTCCAGGAGCAAGCTGAGCCAGTGGCTTTCAATGGCTTTCGACTACTACTACTACCAATACTAGGCTCGTCGTAGGATTCTCGCCAAGTGCTATGTAACATCAGGCCGCCAACCTCAGGCTGTAGCAAACTTCAAGTTGTGGTACTGCTAAATAGCTGTCCGCCTACCTCCATCAGATTGATTCTGTTCTTGCAGCTGCTTGTCTGCGTCGTGTCGTCGAGTTCGCCAACCAGGACCAAACCTGCTGTACTTGGTGCTCCATATCAAGCGATGTCTGAAGAAGCAAAGAAGCCTCGATTCTGGAACTATCCTCCCCCCAAACAAGGGCCAGATGTTTTCTCCGTGAACAATGCTGCACCGAATCCTGTGCTCCGTGGATACCCTTTGGCGGTGGCGGCGTGGATGTAAGATGGCCAGAGCCCAATCTGACTTTTGCCTATGCTACCAGAGAAGAGACTGATTCGTCTGTCCAAGTGTCGCCTCCTCCAGCTTCGTCTCCAACATATTCTGGAAGAATGCCAAGTTCGACCAGCTGCAAGAGGTCAAGGAGCTCGATGCGTATGATCCTCGCTATGATCCTACTGTCATCCCCATTACGCCCCCTTCAGACGCCAAACCAGTTTCTCTGAACGATCTTCCTGCCCCGAAACCTCGCCAGCACCCACAGCAGCATTACACCTCCGGCGACTATGTCTCGCTCTACCAAGCAAGAAAGCTAACACCGTCTGACGTTGTGGAAGTCCTGATCTCGCTGATCAGCAAGGAAGCAGGAGGTGAACATTCCATTGCTTTCCTCCAATGCAGAGCAGACCTCATCAGACAGGCTGCTCAGGCTTCTACGAGGAGATACCAAGAAGGAAAGCCCCTTGGCCCCCTTGACGGTGTGCCTGTGGCTGTCAAGGATGAGGTTGACCTGAAAGGCTACAAGAGGACGCTGGGTAGTGCCATGGACTTTACCAACAAGGACGACGAGACTGCCTGGTGTGTCAAGCAATGGGAAGACGCCGGGGCGATTGTGATAGGGAAGACGAACATGCATGAGATTGGTCTTGGTATGTCCTCGCCCGGTTCCTGGCAGCATCTCGCTTTATTCTTTTCATCCTCACACCAAGTCTTCCCGAGTCGACTAAACCTCCCATACAGACACCACGAACAACAATCCCCACACCGGCACGCCCCCCAACCCGCACAACCCATCCCACTACTGTGGCGGCTCTTCCGGCGGGTCCGCCTACTCCGTCTCCACCGGCCTTGTGCCCATCGCCCTCGGCTCCGACGGCGGCGGCTCCATCCGCATCCCCTCCTCCCTGTGCGGGATCTACGGTCTCAAACCGACGCACGGCCGCGTCTCGGGCCATCCCACCCGCGATCTCGGCGTCAGCGTCGGCGTCTACGGTCCCATGGCCAGCAATCTCGACGACCTCCGCCTCGGCTACCGCGTCATGGCGAAACCGGATCCCAGCCAAGCGTTAGGCAAGATGTTCGCGGACCCACTGCGAGAAATCCGCATCTCGGCGTCCAGCAGCAACGACGGAGCCAGC